TCTTCCCCGTATTTTCATTTTCCTGAACCTCGGGCTGGCTGTGGTGTTGAAGGTGTCGGGAAATCGGTGGCATTAATTGACATTTCTCAAAACAAAGTAGTTTCCTGGCTTCAGCTAATCTGCAGCATGTTGTTTTAGAAAGGCCATCCCTGAACGCTCAATTTTACTCAATTTATATGGGCAAACACAAGCACATCAGCTCTAAATATAATGCTTATTTACAATATTAGGCAGATAACCAGGAGACAATGGTGCATTTCAGCAGCCTCAATCAATTAGTTCCAGATGTGGACAGTATATCTTAATGAGAATTTTTGATTCCCTGTTTTCTGCCAGTTCTTAGAATTTTCTTTTATGTTATGTCTATACTCACGCTTGGTAAATTTGCACATTGACCATGCATACACACACTCATAATGCCAAAAAAAAAAAAGACAGAGGTGAGGAGTCATATCGTATTCTTCTTTCCTTCTCCAGGAAGCAGAGATCAAGAAAATGGCAAAGAGCGGTAACAGGGAGGCTTGTAAGATTCTCGCCAAGCAATTAGTTCAGCTGAGGAAGCAGAAGACCCGGACGTACGCTGTCAGCTCCAAGGTCACCTCCATGTCTACGCAGACAAAGCTCATGAACTCCCAAATGAAGATGGCCGGTGCCATGTCTACCTCAGCCAAGGTAAAATGCTAAACCCTGTCAATCAGTACAGCTCATTTTGAATTAGAAATATGGATACAGTGCAGCATATACAAAGTGAACAAGTCCCTACTTCAACATACTTTATGTGCCATTGCTGTTAGACAGTCTGTATGAACAAGGTGTTGCTATCTAATGGAAAAGTAAAATTTGTTTTCCACACAAGCTAAGTTCAGTGTGTACACACATTAATATTCTAGTGTGGCAATTAAAGTATTAATGTGGGGTCTGTTCATGTTTAAAACCCGAGCCTTGTAGCACTGTTGTTAATGAAGTATGAGAGGTACTAATTGGCCAGGAGCGATGTACTGTACAGAGTCACACTGAGCAAACATAGACAGGTCAAATATAATTAGGCTTTAAATTAATGGCGTGTGTTCAAGTTTACGCGAGGCTGTGGCTATGTCACAAAGAATGTGTTAATTATATTCTGTCAGATACACAGACGCACACAGGAAAGTTGCAGCTTTGATGTGTCTTCAGTAGAAAGTGATGCATTCTCCATCACCTTTCTCCTGAGCTTTAGATTTGCATGATTTTGAGAAGCTTGTCAGTTGAGACGTTGATGTATCTGGTATTGTGTCAGACTCAGGTCTGAAAGTAGGCCATGTTTGTGCTGATCTTTCACAGGAAGCAAATTTACTTGAGGTTGAGGATCGAATATTTTGTGAAATGTCTAAATGTCTAAAGTTTAAAAGGTAAATTATCTCGAATAGTTTGTGCAACTAAAGTTCATGCTATCATGTTGAGCATAATTAGAGGTTTCTACATCGTGAAGAGTGTTATTTCTTGGCAGTAGCACCTAAAAAGATAGATTCTCATACGTTCCTTAAATGTTTGCAGACAATGCAAGCAGTGAATAAAAAGATGGATCCACAGAAGACACTGAAAACCATGCAGGACTTCCAGAAGGAGAACATGAAGATGGGCATGACAGAGGATATGAGTAAGAACACAATGCACTTGGCAAAACAAGTTTGGGAAGATATATGGGAATAGTGTGAGAAGTGATGTGTGCTGCAAAATATGCAGCAAAGGCAAAATATGTTTGTGGGATGTTTTTCAGAAGAAACTGAGGTTTGTTTTTGTTTTTTGTATGCAGCAGCCGTCTTGCTCTAAAGTCCAAACTTGTGACTGGAAATCAATTTGACTGACTTTTCTGTCCTTATCTTCTTCCTTCCTGTCTCACTATCTGTTCAGTCAACGACACTTTGGATGAGATCTTTGAAGAATCTGGAGATGAAGAGGAATCTCAGGACATTGTCAACCAGGTTCTGGATGAGATTGGCATTGAGATCTCAGGGAAGGTAAGAAATTCAAAAACCACATCTCTCCTACATCCATCAACTTTATAGACATCACAATAGTAGTAGAAAAACAATCTTAACATTTTACCATTTAGTCTCAGATTTAACTGCACATTTTCAGATGTAGATGCACTTAATGGAGCACACAGCCCCTAGCAAGATGAACAATAAATGGTCCACATGGCTTTTACTCTGCTTTTAAAATGTATTCCAGCTGCCACATGGTGGGGCTAGCCCTCAGCTCTTCTAGCTCTGTCCGTCTGCCGTGTGTCTGGCTCCCCCTGGGGTGCTGCATGAGTTATTACCTCACACAAAACAATGCACAAACCGACAAATCTCCCAAAAAAGCCCCCAGCAGGAGTGGCAGTTTTTTTAAAAAAAAAGCTCATCAGACTGTCTCAGGGTTTTTTGGGTGGGGTTTTTGTTTTGTTTTGTTTTTGTGGGTTTTTTTGGGAGGGATAGAGACACACAGGATGCTCTTTAAAAAGTAAAAGTAATCCAACGGCTTCATAAAATAACAAGATTCACAAACTACGGTAGTTTGGAAAATCTACCATAATAAAATAATCATCCATATGTTACTTCTATTGTTACTGGGATAATTCTGTGTCTACTGACAGTAAGTAGTCAGCTGGGAAGCTAACAAAGGCTGTGAATAGTTTCAGTTTTTTTCTGCAAATAAAAAGTAACCGGCATAAAATTAATCATGCCTTTTGGTGTCGAGTACCAGATTGTTTCAGCATCTTTTATAGGATGCAGTAATTGATCTTCAACAAACCCAAACAACTGCACTTTTTATGTAAAGTAAACTTTACAGTTAATTGACAAAATTGTGACTCAGTTTGAACAGTTTTTTTTTTTCTTTGTTTTTGAGTGTCAGCAAGCAGCTGTACATCGTAGACGGTCTTGAAACAAGTAGCAGCTCTGCGATTGAACGTGTGTATTTTGAAGTTGATGTGGCTGCTAATGGGGTTTTCTACCCATGTGTGATTCCAGATGGTGAAAGCTCCAGCTGCAGGAAAAAGTGTCCCCGGTGCTGCTGCCTCCTCCAAAGCCACCATCTCTGACGACGAGATTGAAAGACAGCTCCGAGCTCTGGGAGTCGACTAGGTTTCGTCTTCGTATTAATGTTCAAATTGTTAGAAACACTGGTTTTGTCATGGTTCGAGCGTACACACTCACACACTTACACACACGCACACACATACACATACATACACATACGTTTATTAACACATACATATTGTCACATTCGCCTTAGAGATCATTATGGCAGAACATGTGATCTATTTATGTGAAAATAATATTTATTACAACATCGGAGAGGCCACATCTCAAAGGTGGACCAGCAGTTGATGTTTCACCTGAAAAACTGATTACGCTGTTGTTTACCACCCATCTGTCTTTATAAGGGCTACAAGTGTATGAGATCTTGGAATTGGCTTTTCCCTTCTGGTATTTTGGTCAATCTTGAATTAGTCCTATAATCTCGGTCTGCTTTGATACGATTGAAGAAGGATGGTCTTTCTTCAGGAAGTTTTAATGAATAAAACATGGTAATTAAAAAGCAGCTTTGGGGATGTCAATAAGCAGATGGAACTTGTATTTTTTCCCACTCAGACTATTTATATGCTATCTTTGTTGCCATTGGTAAAATTAAAACCAATTGAATCCACTTTCTGAGGCAAACTTTCCATTTTAAGACATTCTTTTGTCAAATTTGCAATGTTTTATGGATAAAATGCCTCTGTTTGATTTCTTTCTCATCCTGAGATATTCGAGATAAGACAGACACTTAATCATGCTAACTAGCTAAATCATTACCAAGCTTTTTTAGGTTTGCCACCATAGGTACTGCAGACAGACATATGCATGTGAAACATGTAACTAATATCTTCGGGCTGGGGTCAGGCTTTCAATTTACGTGCATGAAATGAAAAGACAAATTGATCCGAGAGCAAACTGGCTAGCATTTTTGTGATTTTGTACAGATTATAAAATTAAATAAAGTTGAGATTAAAAACACAATTTAGGGCTAATGAAAGACTGGCATGTCAAAGAGATTTCAATCCATAATTAAAGCCAGAGGCTTCTGGGTTGATGTTTGATTTACACAGAGATCGTAAGGTGGTACTGATCCTGCAGTCCCTCTACTCTTTCAGCTGCTGTGCAGTTGCTGTCATTTGTTTTTTTTGTTTTTAAGCTGCCTCACTCACAGAAAAACAGACACTAAAGGAACGAAATGATGGAAACGTTTGCTAATATAACACTGTGATTGAGGAGATTTCTTCTCTTCTCCAGCTGAAGCAGGTTTTTCCTTTACAGTAATTTGTCAGCGTCAGCCGTTCCAGGCTTCGTGACAGTGACAGCCATATCTGCTCAACGTTTTATCTGTTTGTGCCCCCTCGTTTAGACTCCCTTTGCCAAAATAAACCGAATAAGATTCATCCTTGCGTATGTCTGAAATCTACAAGTCATAATTTGAATTTTTGCAAAAAAATTTGTTCCTCAACCTTACACCAATCTGTTGTGATTGAGAACAGAATCAGTTAACAGATATTTTTTGAGTGCAGTTCTACAATGGGATATTACCATGCATTTTGTGTATGTATACTCATTTTGTTTCCTTCTTATTGTAAAGTGTAAAGGGTGTATGGCTTTTATAAGGAATAAAGTTTCCTCAGGTATGATCGGATCTTTTTTCATTTTCAGTCTCCACTTTATCCCTCCCCCCCTTCTTTTTCATTAAAGTTGTATTCAAGGTTTTTTTTAAGGCTTCGCTTCAAACCGAGCAACACAAAGAGGTATATATCTTTTTTTACTGTCTTTAAAGAAAGACATCAGTTTCCATTCATTTCCATATAAATGACAGACTCAGACAATAGTGTGCTGAAATTCTTTTTTTTTTTTTTTTTTACCCCCCCCCAACTGCAGAATAAAAAAAAAAAAAAAAAAAAAAAAAAAAAAGTGCATGGTAATGCAATATAAGTGCATTATCAGGCAATGAAAAGTAACTTATTATTTTGGAGCCAAATAAATTTTGACTGTTAAATGATGCATGATGATCCATCTGATGAAGAGTTGAATAGAGTATCAAACAGAAGCGCAAACACACCGACACATAACACATGCATATATTTTAGCCACGTTTATGGATTTACTTATATAAAAATTACATGGTACCCATTCAGCTCTCTGAATACATGAACTGTGGGGGGGAAAAGGAGTAGATATGAAAAAAAACTTTAAGGCTAAATGCATCTGGACGACTGCCTTTAGAAGCTTCTTAGTAGTTTTATAGTAAGCATGCTGTGCCTGTAACTTTGCTGTGTAGACACTCAGAGTGACAGCAGTCGGTGTGACCCTGCAGCATTTATTTCCCCAGGCAGCGCTCCCGTTATACAGCCTTACATTAGTCACTCATTTCTGAATTTAAGTGTCTTGTATGTTTATTTATGAATCTCCAGTGAGACATTCACAACATAATATTATGTAGTACTACAGTAAAAATGAGAGACGGCACTCGTACTGTAGTTGTGAAGTGCGGGTTATTGCTTGCTACATATGCAGTGAACTGACTGAGCTTTGAGTGCCTGGGAACTGAAAGGAGCAATTTGATAAAGAAAGGGGCAGATATTTGCCATATTTTTATATTTTCAGTATAATAAACACCCTTTAAATCAGTCTGTTGCCAGTCCTATGTCACATTTTCTAGTTTTTTTTGACAATAATTATTGGCTTCTGATGCAAATTTAAAAGAATAAAAACATCCTTATCCTTTTAGGTGCTTTCTTCTTACGAAAGGCGTGGCGTTTCTGTTTCTTTCCCATCAGTCACCTCAACCAGGTCAGAGTTGTGACTGGCTGGTGTTCTTCTTTGTATGACACTTTATCAAGGCAGCAACGACAAAAGCAAAAACATCAACATCTATCTTACATCAGGGAAACAGAAGACTGCATATCCATTTGCTGTCAAAAAGTTTCCCATGTCCCTGGCTTCATCCCATAAATCACAGAGCTTGTGCACAGTAAAGTAGCCTGACATAATAAATTAGCTCTCAAATAAATAGGTTGTTGTAAAGTTTTTAAATATATTACTGTTTTGACTGCAACTACATTCATTTGGCTAAAGCATTTTTCTTAAGACTGACAGCTAATAAAAAAAAGGGACATAAAGGCACCAAAAATACACAAACACAACTACAACAGGGAGTTCTGTGGTTAAATATAGATGTAAATGTAGAACACTTCATTTCATCAACAATAAAACTTCTTTTTGTAGGAAAAAAAGGACAAAATCAATAATGGTATTGCTTTCTTTCAGAAAGGTACAGAGCTGATCTTTATGAGCACTTGTCTGTACTCTGATGCTGATGTATTAAATGAGATTTGGTTTGTGTGGTTAATACACTTTCAGCGGTTGTATAGCAAACAAGGCACAGCCAATATTCAGTACATTTAAATGTCAAGACTGGCAGGTGCAGCATCAAGCCAGCAGTTCATATGCAGTTATTGAAAACCTTTTATCGTCACAGTTTCAACTTCAAACAACAAGGAAATAATGGCCGGGCTGCTCTTTGACATTTATGTCTCTTGTTTAAAATTGCAATTTTAAATAAAAACAGACATTTATATATTACATTCGGAAAATCTAACAGAGAGACATATCTGTGCAAAGACAACAGACAAAGATAAACTTTTTATGGCAAACTTGGTCTTATATAAATTCTCTTGTCAGTATTAAGTCAGTGAAGCAGCCGCTTAACGCTGGGTAAAAGAAGCTTTATCTGTTTTCAGCAGGGTAAAAGTCTCCTGTGGCATTTGGAATAATTGCTATTGGACATGTCAGATTTGAAAAGAGCACATTTTTAACCACGGTCACAAACGAGCCTCCCTCACAGACACGCTCATCGAACCTCGAATTATGTCATTGCTCTTTGCGTTTTACTCATCTGTGCTATGCAGTTCGGACTGATTTTGGTCAAACACGAGCTGAGGTTAAGGCTGGTTTTAACACGTTTTTCCCTTTGGCGTCGGTTGCAGAACCAAACTCTGACCACTTCCTTCTCCAGATGGAGGCCTTTGGCTATCCGGGCTATTTCCTGAGAGGATGGCTTACTTTTCTCCACAAAGCTGCGCTCAAGGGCCTCCTTAGCTCCAAGGCTACAGAGTGAAACAAGGGAGAGGGGGAATAAAAAAAAAGATTATGAGTTCACTTGGTAAATGGCATATTTTGTACGTTTGATCTTTACAGTACACACCTGATAGTTGTTCTCCTTTTTCTCTTCCGTTCATTCATTCCTATTTTGTCATTGTACAAAGCTGCAAGAAACAACAGTAGGTTCTGTAAGGACATAAGGATACATCTTTCTGGCTGATTGCTAGTGTAACCCATAACTTTCCCTAGACTGATTTAGCGTGTCACCACATCAAATATCATTATATGACCTTGGTCATAAAATAAATCTGGTGTTGAGGAGGCCACTAATATGACAGAAAAACACTTCTTTGACACACACGGTGCATCTGTTTATTTGAAATTCTTTTTCTTTGTTGTAATCTGGAAAGTTGTAGCTCTTTACACCTAAGTAATCAGATAAAATGTGAGACTAAAAAATCAATCTGATGTATGCATCATGTGATGAGCATTACAAGCGATTCGTTTGAAAAGGATGTAAGACTAAAAGTGTTGGCAAACACTGTCCAAGATGAGGCACAACTAATTAGATCTTAGTAATCACCCAAGAAAGCATTACTTTCAAATATTTTTTTTAAGAGACATTAAAAGAGACTGAATCAGAAGGATTAATTTTACCATGCTGAATAGATAAACGTTACCCTCAAATAAATACTCTCAAAGGGTTGTGAGTTGAGTGGATACGTGTGACTCACCACCCGCCAGCTCAGCTTCATCAAGCCATTTAGCCAGAATGGCCTTGAGTTTGCAGGCGTTCTTAAAGCTCAGCTGCAAATTTTCAAAACGGCAGATCGTGGTCTGGCTGAACTCTGAACCATGCACGGCAGCAAGCGCCTCCCCTACATTAGTCTGAGTGTACCCTGCGGGTCAAAATGAAACAGAAATACTTTATAAAATACACGCAACACAGAGGAGTAGAGGAGTGGGAAAAAAAGACAAAACCATCTGCAGTGAAGCGTCTCATTGCTGCAGCTGAACAGTGAGATAAATTTGTATTAATCATACCGAGTTTGATCCTCCGTATTTTGAAGTCATTTGCAAACATCTCCAACTCTCGTATCTGCGGTGAATCCATGGCAGGTGCGTCCTCTGGGTCCCGCATACTCTTCCTTTGGCCGTCACTTTTTATCTCTCCGCTTGGGCCCCCTGGGGCCTCATCAGTTGAAAGAAGGGCCGAGGGCAGTGAAGAGAAACCGTGGCTTAATGCACAAGAGCCGCTGCTTAGGCCATGATCCGGAAACTTGTACAAGCAAGAAGTAAGAGATCCTAGCAAAACAGAGAGTGGCAGAGAGCAGAAAGAGAGGGGAAATTTGTTGGTAGGGAACAACGGAACAGCTGGGATGTGGAAATTAATATTTTAATGTGAGTTTTTTTCAATCTTTTTGCTACGATAGACAATATTGGATAACAGTAACTCTTTGAAAAAATGAAGGTTTAAATGTAATCAGAACATTTTCCTTCTATAAATAAAAAGTCTTCATAGTGTGATGCACCGTGTAGATCATGTATAACTTTACCTCTCCAGTGAAACATCATTGAAGTTGCCCTTATTAGTACATCTGCAGACTGGCAGGCGCAAACAGTTTTATGTCAGTGCATATTTGTGGTGTATGGAATAAAAGTAAAGGTTTCTTTTTGAAGTCCCACACTTGGTTGGCATGATGACACCTGAGCCAGTTCCATTTACTGATAAAAGCTGTAAGATTTAAAAAAAAAAGAAGGGAAAAAAACCCTCCTATGTGACATGAGTGCTTAAATAAGCGAATGTGTTTTCAGGGGCTTGGTGAATAGATATTCTTTTAACTGTCACTTAAAACAATAAATTGCAGTGTAGCCATAATTTAATGAACTCGTCTTTCCGCAGTCCCCTCGTCCTTGGCTTTGGTGTTGCGGCACGAAGCCGGCTTTCCTTCATATACCTATTTTAAAGGCTCGCTGCTCAGCTGTGAGCAAACATCTCACAACCATCTGACAAGAGGTTTGTATTTACTTGTGTTACAATTTTCAAGATGATTCATTATTGCTACAGGTGGCTGTTAGTGTTAAGTGGTAAGCTGGAGTGGAGCTCTTGCTGCTAATCACTAATGACAGATTAATGACAGATGACTGCCACGGTACCTCATGGGTGGATGACTAATTGTAATTTCTAATGTGATTCTGTCCTTTGCGTCACAAATCTGCACAGCTGCAGAGAAAAGAAAACAACCACTAATTAACAGCACTAAAAATATGTCAGTCTGCGTGTCGCATTTAGCATGCAAGAGGAGACGTTAAGCGAGTTAGGCATGTGCAAAACAGGACTGTCTTCGCTCATGAGGGACACCGTTTTCCTTAACTGCTATCCATATTGCTGGTAATGTAAGTGAGTAATGCAACACTCCCCTCTTGTGTTACTGCAGTTGTAGTGCAAACTATATATAACTATTTTTAGACAATAATAGGATCTAATATAATAAAGGTCAGTTGGTAAGTCTCAGTTAGTTAGTTTATAATATCTGTACCCTTAGTATCCTTTTTCTTTTCACATAAACTAAATGGTAAAATATTTCTTGACAGTGAACATTCACTTAAGTGTCTAATACATCCTTGCAACAATCCCTCGGCTTTGTGAAGAGTACCGTTTCGCTTTGGTTTAAACTGTTTCAGAGGTGCTGATTTAAATTTTTGGTCTTTTTGGTGTTATTGCATGCCAAATATGTTTTGTTGCGGAAGCTAGGTAAGCATGGTATTTTCAGTATTTTTACCTACTCCATTAATATTACCCAAGGTAGGCTAAAATGATTTATTAATGTGAAATTGAATCTCAGTCAATAAACATATTTGTGATCCTTTGGCTAAACTTTTTGTCAACTTTGAGCAACACTTCTTCTCTTTTTCTGCTCATCCAGTAAGGATGAGCTGCCGCTACTTTCCAAAGCAGCACATAGCAACATCTTTTCTTTTTAAACCTGACGTGACACACTGAAACAAAAGCTTCTACAGAAACTCAGATTTTAGCTCAGCTAAAATGTTGCCTGACAACAGCAGTGGTTGAGCCATTTTGGACTAGATAGAATTCACTAACCGAAATACTGACAACAGTTACAGCTGTCACGAGCCCTGTGCATTAAGTGGTGGCGAAAATAACAGCACCATCGACCCATTGCATTGTTCAGCTGGATCTATAAATCAGCTGGAGAGCAGTATGGCAGATTCTTCTCCAAAACTGTATGCATCAGTGATCTTCTCTTGTACCGAAGGTGTCAGGCAGAGGTTGGAGTTCCTCTCTCTGTTGAAATTGCTTCTTTAGGCTGCATGCACAGTATGTGTCTGCATTTGTAGCTGTAGCCTTTAGATTTCAGAGCTTTTTCCACCTAACTGCAGACGCCTCTTCAACATCAACATCCCAAAAGTGAGTGCTCCGTGTGCAGTATGCACCTTGCAGTTGTTTAGCATTGGTAAGAGGGCGTTTGGGGCTAATACTATATCCTTGAGAACAACAACAACAGTTTTTGGATTATTCAGCTGGAGGCATCCTGTTTTTCCCACTGAGCTGGCAAAAGGGAGAGGAATCTTCGTTGTCTCGCCCTGATGTATGCACTGATGTTCTCTGGGCAGCTTACATGCAGCTATGCTGCAGTGAACACAGCCGTTGTCTGTGTGGCAGGGAGGCAGACTGGGCAGCAAGCCCTGGTCCTTGCACATGTGGGCTTACTGACTTTGTGAAAGCACCTCACAAGCCTTTGTGTACATGGCCTTGGACCTCCCAGCAGCTATACATGTGCACCATCCAAAAAGCTTCAACAGATTTAAGCTAAATGTGGACAGAAAGCAAACAAACACTGATTTGATGCTGTATTAAAAGCTGCTTCAACAATGTTTTGTAGTCTGAACAAGCTGGAATCCCAGAGTTGCCTTTTAGTCAAACGCAATATAATAAAGTTATGTCTTGGAAAACAGTTAACTGTTTACACATCTAGCGTATAGTGACCAACCTTACCTTCTGAAGCTCTATTTTAGTGCTCTATTCGCTTTTATTTCATGTCTCTTTTGATTTAAAACCAGCCGCAGTGAGGGAATTCTGGGACTTTAGTTTTTAAATGTGCTATTTGCTGCTGGGCAGGGGGTGTACTGTGGGTGTACCAGAGTGCTGTTGCTGAAAAATGTCACCATTTGCAGCTGAACACGAGGTTGATGAGACGAAAGAGACCAACTGAGGGGAACTGCAGAGTTGATAAATCACCGTGGGTTTGTAGGGCAGCACCTTTCACATCACACTTATTTGATCCACTGTTAATATAAAAATGGATTAATGCAGCTTTAAAAAATGAAAGAGGCTTTTTTCCTTTCCTCTGTCCTCAGCTATCATAATTCAGGACCCCGTTTGATGACATTAACTTTTATCTCTCTCTTCTTAACGTAAAGGTGTCCTTCTGCTGTCGAATGCTTTCAGCTAGTCTCATTTTATGATTCAGACGGATTTTTTACCATCAGTTTCACCGCACACATGAGATTTTTTTTTTCCCTGTTTCTGCCTGGCATTGCATTGCTCTTTTCAAGCGATACAGCCTCCCTTTTTTATCATCCCACATAATTTATGTCACCTCATGTCAGTCTTGTCAAACATTGCTGTCAGAAGCTTGACACCAGTCTCAGACAAGCTTACAGCTGTACTTTTTAAGCTGTCAGTCAGACATTTGATCATTCAGCAGTTGAGGAACAGACATCATTAAGGTGACAAATTACCTCCTGGTGGTAATAAGTGTGGGCACTTGCTGTTTAATTAATCCTAATGTACATCAGTGCAGTCTTTGACACCATAGTTCATATAATTTTTGTGAGGCCGTTTGCAGAAGTGGGCCGATGTCACCGGGTCTCTGCCCAGGTGGTTAAAATCCAAACAGAGAAGTCTGTAAAAAGAAACTTCTTTATTTCTTCAGCAAAACTCCTGGGTTCATTTAGGGTCGAGTTCTTTTTTTTTGTACTCTCACATGGTTATATGATATAGAATAATTCAGTTATACTTTGTCTAACTAAAAAAAATGGATCAAATCTGATATGCTTTTCTCTTTTTATCGGCTTAAGACTTTGAAGGGTTGTTTATGTTCTTTTTGTTTCTGTGTCCTTTTTCATTATTTCATATTATTCAAAAGAATCAGCATGCAGGACCTAAAGTCTGAAAGAGTGAAACTTTGATAAGGTGTCATGTTTCTTGAGGTCTGTGCTCATGTCTGGAATACAGAAACGGCAGAACTCTTTAAAATCTGGTTGGTTTACAATATCAGTTTGGCATGTTTTATATGATAAAATGATACAAACTAATAAAGGCTATAAGAACAGTATGCATTAAGGGAAATCGTGTTTTTTTTTGTTAAAGATAACTGCTATTAACTACAGTTATTAATTACATTCATGAAAAATGGCAGTTTTTCTGAAGTTTAATCATGACTAATTCGATTCCCATCCACCACAATTGTAGCAACAATCGTGACAGTGTGCAACTCCCACTCCTGACAGCAGGACAGGGAATTGGCGAGTAATCTTTGACAGTTACACTTAACAAGTGCTCTAAAAAGCTCAAGTAAGTGCGCTAAAGAGTCCACGCGAGATAATCAAGGTTGAAATTGATTTTAACTGGCAGCAGATTTAAAATTAAATGGAACATAAACACATTTTCTGCTCAATTTACTGTGTTTAACTACAGGCAAGTAGAGGGAAGGAGCAAGCAAGCGTGTGTGTGTGTGTCTGATCTTTACCTTGCAATGCATTTGCACCGCTCACCATGTTAGGGTGAGGGACACCACAGGTCTGCAAGATACGAGTCTGAGAAATACTGGCAGAGAGCATCTCCTGTGCTGCAGAGAGAGAGAGAGACAGAGGCCTTTATTATCGACACCATCATCGCCATTACTGTATAGTGTAATTGTCACTGCCTGCACTATACTCATCATCATCTAAACCTCTATGATAGCCATCGCTGTTAGTGTGACATTGTAATTTCAGCCTTGCTATAATCAGCATGAGTCCTGCTTTTCAGTGTCACCCTTCAATACGACAGCTGACTTTTTCCTTCAGAAACTTGCCTAAAAGTCTCGACTCTGCCGATTTATCCGCACCTGACACTTTGTGAACTTGTCTTCAGTTAGCCACACCTGTCGTTTCTAAATGCATGGCAGCACTTTCAGTTTGCAGATCGTGACTACATAATGCCCACACATGACTGAAACGGAATAATTTTGCAAATTTGAGGCTCGATTTCAGTGCTTCCAAAACCTGGCATAGTTAGAATCGATTGTCCTTGTCCTCATCATCATAACCAACAGCACAGATCAATACTGCTCCCTCCCCCATGAGTCTTCATCAGCTTCAGTTTTTCTGTTTTTAATGTTGGCTTTGGAAATGCTGCAAAATAACATTTCCACCAGAAACAAATGTAAATCTAGTGCTGTAAAAATGATGAGATATCATTAAAGAGAATGCTACAATTTATCTTCAACCCCAAACCCACACAGTATAAAACGGAGAGATGAAGAGTAAAAGTCAAGGTTATATTAAATATCATATATTAAACACAGGCCATCCACTATTTGATAAAGCTGGTGCTTAAAACATACAAAACACATTGATAGATTTTATTGACCAACTCAACTCGTGGTTTGCCTTTTTAGTTTTCACAAATTCTTCTTCCCTAGCATCATCTCTGCTTACCTGCCATCATGCCATAGGTGGCCTGCTGGTTTGTGTAGTGACAGGGGGTGACTGGATAATGTAAGCTTGCGGGGGTGTTGCTGAGAGCATTGCCCAGGGAGGAAGTCGGGAGGTGCATGTGGGAACGCTTGGAGGGCTGACCCAGGGACAGCCCAGATGACACTGACAGAGACAAACAAAGACATTTTTCAAGTCAGGATCTGATCCGTGTGCAGTTCAATTTTAAAGCATTCCCAGACAAGTAAAGCATCTTTCTTTAACATCTTTAAGTTTGATTTCATATCAAGTGGAAGCATTTTAATGACTTGCCTACTGCAGGATGTGCACTGACTAGATGTGTACTGACAACCCTCATCACATCACATATGGAGTCAGTAGCTTTGGTTAGTTTTCAGTGAGTTCTTTTCTTTCCTTTCTTTCCTTTAATTAGACACTAAACGGAAATCACTTACTATTAGATGCTGATAAAATAATCTTGCATAACTTTCTAAAGCACAAACTTAAATGAGTCTGTTAGGAAGAGTGGCAGAACAAAGAACACACATCAGTGCTAACTTTTCTTTAAAACTACTGCTTTACGTGCTGCTGTGAATCTAAGTGTGAGGGGGCTTGTAGTTTGTCTTCTCTAGCTGCTTTTCTTGTCTGTCCTTGCCACTTGTTGTAGCAGATGGCTCCCCTCCTCGAGTCTGGTGCTGCCCGGGGGTTCTTGTTGTTCCTGTTGGGGACTTTTTCTTTTCTTTTTCCTTCCCACTGTAGCCAAGTACTCACTCAAAGGGATTTGTTGGGTTTCTCTCTGTATTGTTGTGAAGTGATTATTTTACAATATGGAGCACCCTGAAATGACTTTTATTGTGAACCTGCACTCCATAAATAAAACCGAATTAAATGAAGTGTATTTAAAAAAATCAAAAATAGTATTGCCTTCTAATTAAATAATTATTCATGTGTTCTGCTTCTTATGCAGTTTGGAGTTCACTCCAAGCTTTAATGAATGCTTAGTGGTATTATTAGGATGCGCTCTTGAAGTCGGTCTCGCACATAAACAATAACACTGTACAACTGAGAAGAATCAAAGCCTTGTTTATGAGTTTTCCTCCTCCTGTTATGACTGGGTTTTATTAGCATTCTGTGACCATATTTCAAGTCATTCATAGACACACTAGAAGACAAGGCAGGTCAATGTGTTTTGGAGCAACGGCCTCAAAATCTCACAAGTACTTGGCAGAAAAATAAATAAATATTTTTTCAAAATATGTTTACTCTGCTGTTATATAAATGGTTGAATCATGTCTTGCATGATCTAATCTTGTCTATTCTTAGCTATAACCATCAGGAGGTTTTAAGACCCCTGGAAGTTTTCTCCACAACACTTCATCGTGGAAAAAAAAAGAATACCTTGGGGAGTTTATCATACTGATAACATATCCTCAAAGCAATTATCCACTGAGTAGAGACAGCTGGGCCAAACTATGTAGCTGATTAGATACAGTTACATAATTTGGATTAGATTTGAATAAATGTATTTTTTAATTCAATCCGTTTTGCCTGTCGCCTGGACGCAGCCTTATCGGGGCACAGTTGTGTTCTGCGCCTTGATAAGGGTGATCTATGCTACGACTGCACACAGTTAGGTCATCTCTACATTTCTATGCATACATAATCTGTCACAAATGAACCCTTCCAGGATTTGTTCATGTACAGTTTCATCGCAGTGGAGAATGCCACAATACTGAATCTTCCCTTAAAAGACTCTAACAGGCCTCTCTGGTGGCCCATCTTCCTAAAGCACAGATTAAGTTTTATGACATGATGATGATAGTTTAAATCAATGAGACACACACACACAAAAAATACAATTTTCCACTTTGCAAAACAAACAACGAAAACAATTATAACAAGTTTTACAAGATAACTGAATACGTTTGCTTTACCTGCAGCGACCATGCTTTGAGCATGGGACGTGGTTGGCAGGCAGTCGGTGGTAGAGCCATGGTGCATAATGATAGGCAGGGGTGAATCTCCCGTCAGTGAGGCGAAGGAGTCACTACCAAATGCCTGACAGGCCATTTTTTCCTGCCCTCTCTTTAATGGCGATCGGCTGAAGTTCAACACAGCTCATCGATTGGTTTCTTGTCTTCGCTTCTCTGTCTCTTGCCTATTTTGCCTTATTTCCCATGTTGCTTTGCTTGCCCTTTGCCTTCTCTATTTGTTTCCTTACCTTCCTCTCGCGTGACTTGTTATGGATACCTTGTCTTGCCTTCTGCCTTTCGTCTTGTCTTCTTTGGCGTTCTGTAGTTCTGCTTTGTCTTTTTCTAGCTGCGTTCTAGTCTTCTTTCACCTCATGTATCGCCTCCTTGTTTTTTTCTCTTTCACTCGGGCTCATTCAAGCATACTTCTTCCCTGAGTCCCTTGGGAATATTCAGGTAGAAAACTGTGATAGGTTTCCTTTTTTTTCTTAGAGAAGTGGATGTCAGCACTTCATCCAGAACACTTCACAGTTTTAGTCACAACTCTACCCTCAGCCAAGACTCTTGAAGATGAATATTCAGGAGCTTCAAGCTCAAGATAAATTACTGGTACATTTTCTGAAATGTGTTTCTCAGCTACACAGATTTCCCTCATTAAGGCTTCTCGTCTTTTCTCGCTGTTATAGTTGCAGGTAAGCCGGCGTCTGTCATACCCTCGGCATTTTTCTGTCCTTGTCTACTGCAGGTATTTATATCCAACCTACAACTAACCGCCCACTCTCAACCTATGAGATTCCCTATTTCCCATCGAGCTCCTCACCCCCACCTTCCAATTCCATGTCAGTGCTGTAATTGCTTGTGTTTGTACTTACCTGTGTTCTTCTCATCCTGTTTTCAAATCCAGGATTAGGGTACAGAGCGGCTGAGAAACCCGATCCTCTCCTCTCCTCTCCTCTTCCTCGCTTGCTCTCTCCCTGTGTCTCTTCCTGATTACGGGATTGTGAGGAAGCAATGAGAAAATAAAGTGAAAACATAAAATGCTCATTAAAATAAAAAAGAGAAAAAAAATAATAGATACAAAAGATTCACATGGAGCACCAAGAAATACAGCCTAGAACGTTGAACTGTGCTGCAGCATCTTTCAGCTGTAAATTGATTTGTTTTTTTTAAGGTTGAACCAGGTTATCACGGAGGTCAGCAATGCTGCTTCCACCCTATTTACTGCTGATCTCTCAGAAACAAAAACTCTCATGTACCATCATCTCAGCATTAGTGAAAGAAAGGGCTGCTATTGTGTCAGGATGGTGTCTATATTGTGTTGGATGCAGAGTGCTCCAGGTAAAGACAATAGGACTCAATGGGATGGACAGAAGTTAATCTGAAGAGTGTGGCCACCATGTGCACTTTGTTGTGTCTGTACTTGTGTTTATCCTCAGCTCTGCTTCACTATTGTTGATATAGGTGGGCAGCAGGTGGAAAATAGCTTGTGGGTGGCAGGCAGGATTCAGCTTGCCTAAGCACAGTGTAAATTTGGACTGGATGCACTGAGCACATCGGACAATGTCTTAGCTTGACGTGGATTTTAAACCTAAGTTTGTGAGCTTGTTTATTCACAGTGTCATTACAATAGAGAAAAAAGGAATGAAAATTGTTTCTGCCTTCTGATGGTTTGGTGACTTCGCTTTGCTCCATTTTCTTGTAAGAGTACTAAATAGGTCTTAAAAGTAATTATCTCAAAGGCAATATAATCATAGTCTAAGCCCAAACTCTGATAGCATGAAGTTACTTTAGCCATCCTCCCTTCAATATGCAATCTTTCAAAGACTGATTAAGCAAAACGCAACAAGACTGAGCACTGGAAAAATGAAAGTCTTTGTGACAAATAGCTATGCAAATGAAAATGGACTTTGACAAATCTCATTCTACAAGTTTCAGATTTGAAACTGAAAACAAGTCTACAAAATTACTAAGACAACTGAATGTAATGGTGTGTGACAACAGAAAGTCTCACCAGCAACAATATTATTCTCAAAATACTTTTCATAGTCTTTCATTCCTGCCAACAACTCCCACTCAGGCAGAAGACCATCTTCCCAGCTGGTGAAAGCAGGACTATTTTCACACAGAGAGACTCAACCACCTCTGTTTTAAAGCAATCGCTGTGTTAGTGTGAAAAACAAGTCTCCAACAATTCAGACCGCCCTGATAAAAATCAGTCCAATAAGTCTTAGTAACTGCTAAATAGTAAATAATGCTCAATAATAATGAATGGAAATGTAGAAATAGAAGTTATTTTATGTTTGACTTGTGAGCTGTGCCTAACCTGCTCAGCATCTGTGTGGGTAGATGGTAAATGCAGTCATCATAAGATGAGACAGTGAAGGTTTATATGTTTAAAATAATACCTTTGATTTCTAGATTTAAGTTATTGATCAGACATGGTGTAGGCAAGGTGTTTGCCTTTGATATGCATATGGTACATTGTGACTGTAAATGGCAATTGACATTTGATAAGCACGTGAAAGAACGCATTGTTGAAAATTACAAATATACCCCGACTCTTGGCATATTGGAAATATCGTAAATGCCATAATTGAATGGATTTGCATGTTTTAAAATAAAGGTAAATGCCAGCTTCAAAGGGCTTTGATCAAACCTGGGCAGTCTGAATGTGGTTTTAGACAAATACAAAAAAATCAAAGGATGAGGGAGCGAAAAAAGGAAAGCTTTCCCACACATACACACAGCCACAGACACGCAAGCACACATACATATGCACATAAAGAACCTAAACTTAATTAGTGAAAAGACCCTGAGTCAAATGGGTACTCTTAAAGCACCTGTTCAAGATCCCCCTCCTCGTCCCCCTACAGCACACACACACACGCACACACGCACACACACACACACACACATCACAACACACGACACACACACACACGACACACACACACACCACACACACACACTACACACACACACACACGCACACCCCACAAAAATTTAATTTTAAATGTTCACAGGCAGACTATCACCCTAACCTCTTAACAGATGGCAAAAAATGTAAGCAATAACACGTTTAAATACAATTAATCTTCCACCACACACATGCAAACACACTCAGACATGCACACATACACACAGACACACACACACGCACACAGCAAAGACCACTGATCCACCCGTGGATGCAGTGGGAACAGTGCAAGGTGACACATTCTCACAGGTATCACATCCATATACACGCCGTGTACCAGGTGTGTTCGCCAGTGTCTGTGTGCACGGGAACAACAGAGCGTGCTGCAAATGAGCTGGCACATTTCGGGTGGTTTATTCTGACGTGTAATAAACTTGCCTTTGTGCGTGTGCGGATGTGCATGTGCAAGCTTCGGCAAAATGACACGACCCTTCTCACCACATAAACAAAGTACAGCATCGCATTTTGTATAAAACTTAATTGCCTGCTCATTAGCAGCTTTTTGTGTTTGAGTCTGTGCATCTCCGTGTAGTAAATTACACTGAATAATGTTAGCAAGACATGAGAATAATATGCTACGAGGCAAGTACTCGTGGTGACCAAAAATACATCATGTGCAGAAGAATAGAAAATGAAGTGCAGTACATACAGTACTACTTATAATGTCCTTCCTCTGAAAAGTGAACACAGAGGACATTGCTGAGAAAGTCACTCAGCAACACTAATATAAAAAAATACATTTGGTTTTCAAATGTATAATATTTTAATTCTCCATCCATTTTCTTACACTTCCACTTTCTTTCCTTTCCTCACCCCCTACTGTGGTGGATGGCTGCCCGTCCTTGAACCTGATTCTGCTGGAGGTTTTTTCCTGTTAACAGGGAGTTTTTCCTTCCCGCTGTCACCAAGTGCTTGCTAAAAGAGGGTCGTTTGATTGTTTGAACCTAATCAGGTCAGGGCCCAGGGGCGTAATTTCCAGGGGGGGTTATGACCCACCCAATAATCAGACCCAACCAATATAAGCCCCCCAATAAAATTATGAATTATCTTGCATAAATAGGCTGTTAATTTTCTTTACTCATTTCAGGTATTACCAGCAAAATAGTTGCATGTTTAATTATCTGGAAATTTACCCAGATTTATTTATTTAGACAGAGATCTTGACTCCCCCAATGTTCAGCACAACGTTACGCCCCAACTGGGACAGGTTGCCAGCGTTTCTCGTCAACACAGAAAGACATTCACTGTGGCTAATTTAGAATTGCCACTTAACCTAACATCCATGCCTCTGGACTATGGAAATAACCTATGGAACCCTTCTTGGTGTAAGGTGACAATTCTAACCACATTATCATTGTAAAACCCCCATTTCAATAATCTCAAAATGTAATTAACTGCAATTTAACAATTCAATTATTCATTTTTAATTATTACTGCAATTCTGTGCTATGGTCTAACTTTCTAAGGTTTATAGTTCACAAGAAATGTGACGGTTGAGTGTCGGTGCATACATTTTTTTAAAATAATACATTCTGAACTTTGCACACCAACCCTGCCCCTCATTGTTCAAACAATCATCAACACCAGTGTTCTCATTTTCCAGAACCACATAAATATTAAACTGCATTTTGTCAGAACATGCCCATCGTTCTCCAGTCAACCATGAGAGAGATGAGGAGGGTGAGGTGAGGAGCTTGGATAGAAAAAAACAACAACTTTCTCCTTGTTTTTTAATTTCTGTATACATTAATTATGCAGGGATGAACCCTGAGTGAGGTTTGTCGGTTGCTTGAATACATCATGGCGGAGGTCAGGTCCGCTGATGAATATCAAGCAAACCTTATGCACCACTCCGACCACCATCTGCCCAGAGCTGGGCCTGACTCACAAACCGCTGCACAAACACCGGTCAAACGCATTCAGGAAGGCTAATTTCATCAACATATTCAAAAAACCCTCTATTCAAACAGCAAAGGTTAACTGTGTATTTGAGGAAACTAGAGCGGGTCCTGAATCTGCTCTCCTAGTCTCTCCCAGATTACTATCTCTCTTCATTAAGTAAATGTCAGCTTCAAAAATGTGCTAGTTCAACGACAGTACTCCCAACTTCTTTTTACAGCTTTCTGCTTTAGTAAAAAAAAGGATCACTTCACTGTGGTTTCTCTCATCATCTTCAGACTGTTTTTCACTGCATGTGTCTGATTTTGTTTCCTATTTAAAACCAGGTGGATGAATACAAAGTGAAATGACAGCTCTGTTAAAAAGAAAATTGAGTAGAGCAGAGGACGTTTTTAAAGCCTTCTGCAAATGAGTTTATTTGTTAATGCAATCCAGGAAGAAGTATGAAGAGCTTTCAGCCGTACCGCATCCTCATTAACCTAAACTTTAGCCTGATTAAAATAAGCAAAATGGCAAGCATTTTAAATTGGCAGTTAACCTTTAAGTCACATTAAGTTCTTCAAGCGTTATCTCCTCAGTAAATGAAAGGCTCCATATGCTGTAACAGAATTAATCAAAAGTTTAAAAATTGTCCTTGAAAACAGCACCATACGAGTGCTTACTGGCATTTGGTAACAATAATGCTCTGCAAAGACTCGGTAGGCACTGCAATACTGTAAAGAAAGAAGCAAGATTATGGCACAAACCTCCTGTGAAACTCCAGCTGTCCACATCCCTTGAACCCAAAAGCCACATTTCAGCTGCTGAGCCTCTGCTGTGAGCACACACTGTCCCTGTATTCCTTCTGAAAAATACACAAACATTATTGGACTTGCTAAATATATTTATTGCACAGCATGCTGAATGTTTAAAGAGACTTTTATTTTACAATCCATATACA